GGCAAGACGCAGCACTGGACCCCGCCCGGAGCCCGAGCCCCGAGCCCCTGGCTTGGGGGGAACCGGGAGCCGGAGGGGGGCCTGGCTCCCCCCAACTCACTCTTGCGAGCGAGGGGGCGGGGCTCGCAGAGCCCACCGGAACTTTTTTTAAACCCGACAAGGGCTTTTTAACGTCGCCAGGTGGGGCGGGAGATGGGGGAGAGACAGGTCTCCCTGGCCGCGCCCTCCCCCACGCCCCGGAGGTGGTCCTCACATCACTGTGCAGCCCCCCGGCCCCAGCCGCGCGCCTCCGGGGAGCTCGTTTTTAACCTATCACCCTTTGGGACTCAAAACTGTGAGACGACGACGACGCGTTCGCCAAACTGTGACCCCAGACCTTGGCCCCGCCATACGCCACACGCCACATGGAAGCCACCACCCCACCACCCCACCCCCGACCCTAGACTGTGACCCCCGGCCCCAAACTGTGACCCGAGCCCCAGACTGTGCCCCGACCAGACTGTGACCCCTGACGCTAAACGGACACCTCCCTCCTGCCCATTTCCCCCCTGGATCACTCTCCCCAACTGTTTTCTAGGACACGCCCCGAACGGAAGCCCCGCCTTCTCCCCTAGCCCCCTCCCTAAGCTGGGACCCCACCTTCCCTCAGGCCCAAACTTCCCACCAGGCCACACCTCCCCATTACCCCAGAGCCCCCCAACGACATCCTTTCCAAGACCCTGCAGTGGTGGTCCAGCAGACACCCCCCAAAGCCTCCTCTGCCTGGGGTCCCAGCCGGGTCTGGGGCTGGGCGGAGGAGAGGAGGGGCTAGGCGTCCACACTTGACCCCCCACCTCCTTTCCCGCTCCCCTGCCCCACATCGCAGTGTTTGGAATAAACGATGTTTTTAACGCCTCCGCGTGTGTCTCTCCCCTCCTCCAAATATTCCGGAGGAAACAAATCGGAAAACCCCACTGAGGAACATGGCACGGAAAGAGACTTGGAGAAGGAACGGAGTGTACTCGAAGCCACGGAGGGGGACAGAGACCAGAGAGAGGACCACCTAGAACAACGTGATAGAAACCTGCAGGGGAGCGGACGGGATAAAGAGATCTCTAGAAGTAAGGGATAGAAAACTAAAAGGGGGGGGGGTCAGAGATAGAGACTGGAAAGTGAGAGACAGAAACCCAGAGAGGGAGGGGAATAGAGAAGGTGGGGGGGGGGCATAGAGAAGGGACAGAAAATGGGGCAGGGACCTAGAGGGGGACAGAGACACAGAGAGAAAGGGGGCTAGAGACTCCGAGTGAGGAACAACACTGGCAGGGGGTGGGGGCACAGAAACCCAGAGAGGAGGACTCACTCGGGAGGGGGTGGACAGAGACCAGAGAGATGCTCAGAAGACACACCTATATGAAAGGACGCTCAATAGACCCACAGAGAGGGAGTCCCACAGAAACAGGGACAGAAATCCAGAGGGGAAATAGGCCCACAGAGGAAAGGGGACAGAGATCCAGGTGGGCAGAGGTCCCGGGAGAGGAGGGCAGAGACCCTGTGAGAGCTGAGAGGGATTCAGAACACAATACATTTTGTGATCAAACCCAGAGTTTAATTCTTCGGGCTCATGTCCCCCTCAGGCACGTGAGACCGAGTATCTGATAAGATTCCAGTGGATCCACACATCATGAATGCCTTCCTCTCACCAAAGACAAGGACGAGAACCTATTACTAACACTTCATTATGCCAATTAGCCAAACCTCTGGTGCTGATGGGAAGACAGCAAGCCGAAGCACTTGTAATAGCTGCCTCGAGAGGCGTGGGCTTCCTGATTAAGTGCATGGCTCAGTAGTTAAGAGCTGGGCTGCTAAGAAGGGGACAGCAGGGGCCCTGCGAGGGAAAGATGTGACCACCCCTTTCCATAATGCAGCCTTGGAAACCCTCTGGGGCATTTCTAGTCTGCCCAATGGGGTCAGAATTGACTCAGGGTAATGGTTCCGTGGGGGTTTTGTTTTTCTTTTTTTGAAAAGAACATTGAAGGAGCCCTGGTGGCCTAGTGCTTAAAACACTTGGCTTTGAAAAGAAAGCTCAGGGGTTTGAACCCGCCTGCTGCTCTAAACCACATCCACTGCCATCCAGTTGATTCCATTTCAGAGCAACCCTATAGGGCCGGGTAGAACTGCTCCTGTGGGTTTCCAAAACGAAATCTTTTTTTTTTTAAATCATTTATTGGGGGCTCGTACAACGGCTTAGCACAATCCATCCATCCATCCATGGTGTCAAGCACATTGGTACAATTGTTGCCATCATCATTCTCAAAGCAGTTGCTTTCTGCTTGAGTCTGGTTTCAGTTCTTCATTTTCCCCCTCCCTCCCCGTTGTCCCCTCCCTCAGGAACCCTTGATAATTTATAAACTATTATTTTGTCATATCTTACACTATCCGACGTCTCCCTTCACCCACTTTTCTGTTCCATCCCTCAGGGAGTAGGTTATATGTAGATCCTTGTAATCGTTTCAAAACGAAATCTTTATGGGAACAGAAAGCCTCATCTTTTCCCCATGGGGCAGCTGGTAGTTTCGAACTGCTCATCTTGTTGCGAACAGCCCAGGCGTAAACCACTATGCCAGTCTAAAGAGTAAGTACCCTCTTGGCAATCGTATGGGACATTTCTACTCTGTCCTATAGGGTCACTGTGAGTCAGAATTGACTGGGAGGGGGAAACAGAATTGGTTTGGTTAAGACCATAACCGCAGTGTGAACGTCTGGTTAACCAAGTCACTGCCCCTAGGGTAAATTCAGCCAACTAACTTATATACATTATCTTGTCTACGCTGAAGGCTACTGAAATAAATTAAAGCCTTCATAACAGAGGGGGAAAAGAAACAGGCTTTACGGGTCCTCAGGGAGGAGAAATCTGAGCCTTCTTGTCAGTTAGAGCGTGTATTTGCATGCTATGAATAATTAATGAGGTGGAAAGACAGCATTGGCGATCAAAGGTGAAAGATGGAGTCGGCTCAGCGCTCCTCTAGGCACTGGGGAAGCCGACCTCCAGTAAACTATAATTCCCAGGAGGTCGTGCAGGAAGCAAGGTCACGCGGGAGTTGTAGTTTCTTCCCGTCCGCAACGCCTCTCGCGCTCAGCCAGCCGTGGTCCCCTTTCTTTTCCTTGCCCCTCCCCCGCCGCAGACTCTCATTGGTGGGGCGGTTCCCAGGGTAACCGCCCTGAGGGGGTGGGCCTTCGAGCGTGTGATCCACAAACCGGAAGTGACGCGCTCACCCCGCGCCGACCAGGAGAGGGTTTGAAGATGGCAGCGCGCAAGGGCCGGGCGCGCACATGTGAAAGCGAGGAGCCCATGGAGGCTGCTTCCGGCGACGGCCGAGCCGAGGAGCCGGGGCAGGTCTATGTGCCCGGCCGGGGACCGCCGCTGCGCGAAGGGGAAGAGCTGGTCATGGACGAGGAGGCCTACGTGTTGTACCACCGAGCGCAGACCGGTAGGACTGAGGTCCGGGACCCCGGGGGCTGGGGCAGGCGGGCACTGGAATGACAGGCCCTTGACTTAAGGTACTCCCTGGACGTACAGACGTGGCTCTAACAGAGGGTCCTACGTGGAGAGTTGAGGGGTCAGCGCAACAGACGAAGGCCCTCAACGAGGGAATTGACAGTGGCTGCAGCAAGTGGGAGGATAGCTTAGGACCGGGCAGGCTCTCGTGTTGCGCATGGGATCGCTGTGCGCGGGAACCCACTCCTCATCTGACAGAGAGGGAAATGGGTCTTGAGGGGTCCCCCGTTTCCTTCCGTTCCCTAGGTGCCCCCTGTCTCAGCTTCGACATTGTCCGAGATCACCAGGGAGACAACCGGACGGAACTCCCGCTTTCCCTTTACCTGTGCGCAGGGACCCAGGCCGACAGCGCCCAGAGCAACAGGTGAGGCCCGAGGCTTTCCCAGGAGCAAGCATCTGAGCCCCCCCCAGCCCCTCCTGCCCTCGGCACCCAGGAGTTTGGGGTCCCCTCCCCCTCCGGACCCCGACACCCAGTGCCTCGCCCCGTGCTTTCTCCCAGACTGATGATCCTTCGGATGCACAACCTACATGGGACAAAGCCCCCACCCTCAGAAGGCAGCGATGAAGAGGAGGAGGAAGATGAAGAGGATGAAGATGAGAAAAAACCTCAACTGGAGTTGGCCATGGTGCCCCACTACGGCGGCATCAACAGAGTCCGGGTACAGATAGCCTCACGTGCCTGCTGTGGTCTCTGAACGCCCCCTGCCCTGTGTCCATACCTCCTCTTGGCCATCAAGTTGGCTCTGGCTCATAGTGACCTGAAAGGTCAGCATATCTGACCCATCGGGTCTCCAGGACTGTAATCTTTGTAGAAGCAGACTACTGCACCTTCCTCTCTTGGAGCGGCTGGTGGCTTTGAACCACCAGCCTTTCCGTTAACAATGGAGCTCCTGACCGCTGTATCGCGGGGCCTCTCATGTGTGGATTACACATTGGGCTGCTAACCCCGAGGTCGGTAGTTCTAACCAGCTGCTCCTCAGGAGAAAGAGGAGGCTTTCTATTCCCATGAAGAGTTACAGCCTCAGAAACCCACCAGGGCCGTTCTGTCCTGTCGGGTCACTATGAGCCATCAGAACGGCCTCCGTAGCAGTGAGAACTGGGACAGTAGGAGCCCTGGAGGCACTGTTGGTTATAAGTTGGGCTGCCAACTAAAAGGTCGGCAGTCAGGTCCATCAACGGCTGCCATGTGGCTCAGGAGAACGATGGAGGTTTTCTGCTCCCACAGAGGTTTTATCAAAACCAAGCTCACTGCCATCGAGTCGATTGCAACCATAGCGACCTTATAGGACAGGGTAGAAGTGCCCCCCTGTGAGTTTCCAGGACTGTCTTAGCTCCTTAAGGGAGTAGGAAGTCCCATCTGTCTCCCATGGAGTGGCTGGTTTCGAACTGCTGGCCTGGTCATTAGCAGCCCAATGCGTAACTACTACGCCACTCAAAAAAGGCAAAACCAGACTCGGCGACTCTACAAGGCGGTGGAGAACTGCGCCACTAGCGTTTCATAAAGTGTCCAGTCTCGGGAAATACACACCGTCTCCGGGCAGTTCTCTTCCACCCCGTAGGGTTGCTGTGGATTGCACCGGCCTCGGGAGTTGAAGTGTCAGCGGGAAGAGCTACTGTCATTTTCTGAGGAGTCCCTGGGCGAGGCCACCCAAAACTCGCTGCTGTCGAGTGGATGGCAACTCATAGCGACCACGTAAGACAGGGCAGCGCTGCCCCCGTGAGTTTCCAAGACTAACTGTGTACAGGAGTCCCGGGGAGCAGCTGGTGGTTTTAGGCGCCGACCTTGCGGTTAGCAGCCCAGCATTAAGTTACCACCACGCCACCAAGAAAGGCCGGGCAATCGAGTTGCAAAAAAGCCCCAAGAGCCCTCTGGAGCCACGGTCCTGCCGCGATGGGCGCCTGGGAGTGCCAGGCCTCAGAATCCGCGTGACAGCCCTGGTTACAGTGAGTGAGGCCGTCTTGGCAGAGCAGCAGACTGTCCGGGCCATCTGCTTCTGCTCGGACGGACAGCGGCCGAGAAAACAGTTCTACCGAGGAGTCCACGGGCCACCCCGTAGACAACAGGTGCTGTTTGAAGCCGGGAAGCTGTGTCTTCACACTCTGGGTTTTCTCTCTCCGTAAAACAGCATGCAAGAAAACACCGCCGCCCGGGGCAGACGCGAGGATTAAGTAGAGCCGCAGGCAGCTCTTGGGATGGCCCCCATTGCAATGCAGCCTGCGTGTTCTCCTACTCGGGGCCCGTGGTAGGCTGTCGAGGTCCCCGTGTGTATTTTGGAGTGGTAAAATCTGCTCGAGTCGGTGTGAGCACAAAACCATGTGGGAGCAGCAGTTAGATCAGCACTTGACCCACAGCTCACGCTACCAGTCGCCGCTCACTCATGTAACGAGCAAACGTGTTTGGCCTGCACAGGAAACAAGTGGCACAGTGGGTCTCAAGGTCCGCAGAGCCTACAGGATGTGCGTCATCTGTGTCAGAATGTGGCACTGCCAGACTTCAGGCTCTGCGGGCTGGGCGTGGGGCTCTGGACCACCAGGTCTGTGGTTCAAACCCAGCAGCTGCCCCTGGGGCGAAAGATGAGGCCCGCTGCTCTGGGAGTGATTCGTAATCCGGGGAACCCCACAAATGGGTTGCTCAGAGTTGGGATCGACCGGGCGGCAAGGGTCTGGGCTTGGTGTGGCTCCTGTCCTCGGCCCCTGCCGGTTCTGCAGGGAGGTGAGCAGGAGGCAGTCTGCCCTCAGGGAGATTGCCCGCCTCGGAAACCCAAAGGCAGATCCTACCCTCTCCTGTAGGGTTTCTGGGAGCTGGAGTGGATGTGGTGGCCCCATTGGGGGCTTTTCCTCTGGGACTAATAGGGAGCCATTGGCAGGCTTAGCCACGAGCCCCAGGCGGCGTCATGGTGACGCACTGGACAGCAAACCACAGAGCCAGCAGTTTGAAGCCACCAACCGCCCCGCAGGAGAAAGAGGAGGCTGTCTGCTCCTGTAAAGCATTACGGGTGTGGAGATCCCCCCGGAGCGGTTCTAGTCAGTCCTATAGGGTCGCTGTGAGCCTTGATGGCAGTTTGGTTTGGAGTGGACGGTTTAGCAACGCGGCCGGGCCAGCCTGACCTTGTGTTTTCAAGGGGCTCCCTCTGGTGGCTGTATGGAGCATTGCTGCAGGGAGATGGACAGGAGGACAGTCAAGGGGAGCAGGGGCTGTCCCAGGAATCTAGGGATGAGGTCCACAGCAGCAGTCGGGACACAGGCCCCAGGGTGGCATAGACTTCTCATGTGCTGTGCGGCCAGCCTAGAGATCCGCGGTGCAGACCGGCATGGTGGTGCCGCAGAGGAAAGGCCTGGTGACCAGCTTCCATAAAAGTTCATACCCGCCGTGTGGTCGACTGCACAGGCTTGGTTGTGGTCAGGCTGCACGATGCATGGTCGGCAGTTCAAAACCACCAGCCACTCCGAGGGAGGAAGAGAAGGCTTTCTCTCTTTTTTTTTAAAGTAATTGTGTTTTACCGTTTTGTTAGCATTTCATCTACAGATGACACAATTCAACTGTTCAATCGTATCAAGAAGAGTTGTGGGGTCAATTCCATATTCATATTCTGCTCCCGTAATGTCGGGAACTCACAGGGGCAGTTCTACAGGGTCACTGGACATCAGGAGGGACACGGTGGCAGGCAGTTTGGTTATCGTTGATTCGGGGGAGAGTCAGAGTCTCTGGAACCCATGGGGGGGTGGGGGGGGCCGTTCCTACCCTGCCCTGTAGGGTCGCTGTGAGTTGGCATCTGTGAGTTAGCATCGCTCACTGATGGCTGTGAGTCTGGTTTGGTTTGGGAAGTTGGCTCCCCCTGGTGGTGACCCTGCCGGGCGACTGCCCCATAGCGCTCTCAAGACCTGTGACCTGGGAGCCAAGTGCCAGGCCTCTCTTCCTCGGCACCTCTGGGGGTGGTGGGGGCCAGGGGTTCAGGCAGCCACCCTTTCCGTTAGGAGGCCAGCGTTTGCCCTGGGTGTGACCCAGCCCCCCAAGCCCACGGGCCACAGTTCCACTCGGCAGGCAATCTGAGGGGTCACCATGGGTGGGATTTGCCCAGCAGCAGGCAAGGGTGGGGGGGAAGAGGTGTTCCTGTGAAGCTTGGAGGCGCTGTTCCTGGGTGGTGTCCACGGTGCTGGACTCAACTGTTAGCTGAGAGGCTGGCGGTTCAAACCTCCAAGGAGGTCATGGAGATCTCTGGAAGCGGTCCCAGCCGGGGTGGGAGGGCCCGAGGGACCTCTTCCCATGCCCCGGTTCCCACAGGTGTCCTGGCTGGGTGAGGAGCCCATGGCAGCGGTGTGGTCCGAGAAAGGCCAGGTGGAGGTGTTCGCGCTGCGGCGGCTGCTGCAGGTGGTGGACGACCCGCAGGCCCTGGCAACCTTCCTGCGGGAGGAGCAGGCTCGCGTGAAGCCCGTCTTCGCGTTCGCCGGCCACATGGGCGAGGGCTTCGCCCTGGATTGGTCCCCGCGGGTGCCCGGTGAGGCCCTGGGGCGCGCCTGGGACCGTGGAGGAGGAGGCCGAGCGGGGTGGGTTGCTATGGGCAAGGGGACAAGGTGGGCTCCCGATTCCCCTCCCCAGGCCGCCTGCTGACCGGTGACTGCCAGAAAAACATCCACCTCTGGACCCCCAAGGAGGGCGGCTCCTGGCAAGTGGACCAGCGGCCCTTCTCAGGCCACATTCGCTCCGTGGAGGACCTGCAGTGGTCACCAACCGAGGACACGGTGAGGGGCCTGGACTCCTGGGCTGAGGGAGGGGGGTGTGAGTCTGGGTAAACTAGGGAAACAAATCCACAGAAGGTCATACGATAAGAGAGTTTTATATAAAGGGTAAGTACACATCAAGAAAGCATCCCAACCCAGTGCTGTCCAAGCTCACAAGTCCGACATTAGCCCCTATGTCCGACACCAATCCACAAAGTCCTCCTCCATCTCACAAAACACACGCAATGATGCCGACTGCAGGAGGAAAGCTGAATCAATGAACGTGTAAGCATCTCAGCGCTGGCAGGGGTCTCCACACGGCTGCTCCAGCACCCCAGGGCTGCATCGGGGTAGGTCCATGTGGCCTCCGGGATGTCTCGCAGTAAGTGAGCCTTACCAGCTGAAGCAGGGAACTGGCTAAGGCAGCTGCACTCTGGTCCGACCATCACAAAGCTAGAAACCCGAGAACTAAAAGGGCGAGGCTCACCGAGCCATTTATCCCTCCGCCCTTCAGTGAATCCCACATGTGTTTACCGGCCAGGTTGGCACAATCAACCTGAACTGCCTCGGCACCAGGAACGGACAGGGTGCCTGTGCGGGGCTCTGACCAAAGTGATGGCCTCCCTGCTACCTGGTCTTGGGAAGGGCAGGGGTCGGCACAGCTGGTCACCCCGCCCCCGCCCTCAACCCAGGTGTTCGCCTCCTGCTCAGCGGACGCCTCCATTCGCATCTGGGACATCCGGGCAGCCCCCAGCAAGGCCTGCATGCTGACCACAGCGGCCGCCCACGACGGCGACGTCAATGTCCTCAGCTGGAGCCGCCGGGAGCCCTTTCTGCTCAGTGGCGGGGACGACGGGACCCTCAAGGTCTGGGACCTGCGGCAGTTCAAGGTAATCTCCCAGCAGCCCCGGGGAAGGTAGTCTCCATCCTACAAGGGTTCCCTCCCCACAGAGCTGGTCCCAGCGTGGTATGGGGAGCCGGGGACAGGGGATGGGGACTGAGGGGCGTGGGGTAGGGCAGCAGAAAGTACAGTCCCCCAGCCATCCCTGGGAGCCAAAGTGGCTGATGTTAGCTCTAGGGCCTACGGGCCCAAGCGGGAAGCCCGGCACACGGGCTCATCAGCTGGCTGGGAGGGAGGAGACCGGGCTGTGGAAAGTCAGCCTCCTGCCTCCTGCTGGACCAAGGCCCACCGTTTTCCTTCCCATTTCATGCGTTGTTGAAGCGGCAGCCTGAGGAAGGTGTCTGGAGATGGATTCTGGGCCCTCCTTCCCCCTTTTTTTGGCCGGGGGCGGGGGCGGGCGGGCAGGTCATTAGTTGGGTCACAGGCGAGGCTGGTCGACCTTTGCAGCTGGGGAGCAATGTCCCCTTGG